TTAAAACTAAATATAAAAATTTTAATTTTGATAAAATCATAAAAATGTTGCATAAACAAATCCAAAAAATATTTTGAAATTAATTTATTTTCGTTGCGTGAAGTATTTAAATATTAATGCATTAGACATTTTGTGACTGTTTTGTGCGCACTTTAGCATTTCTAGAAAATTTTTCAGGTCATAGATTTTTATATAAGCATAAAAATATTTAGTAGCAGAATTGAAAGTGGAATTTTCTGCATTCACCGTGTAAACAGACAGAAAGTTCGACTTTTGGAAATCAAAACTGCTTTCAAAAGTAACTTTATATGCAATGTGCTGCCATCTCTTTTAGAAATTCTTGAGTTTGACAGACTACTGAGAGGTACTTGCGCTTGCCACGTCTAACACCCACTTTAGTTTCTTTATTTTTCCTTATTTTCATGCCGCTGCACATTTATTCTCGAAAAGATCGCAAAATTTAATTACAAGTCAATTGCACTGATTCAATAACACTTCAAATGCAATGAGAGAATAAAGGAAAACTAAGTGAAGTGAATAACAACACAAGAAGAATAAGAAACTGAGCACAGCAAACAACAGTCAATAAGTAATCTGAAGAGCAACAAACCACCAAGTAAAACAACAATTTTCAACATTCAGACAACATCGCTAATAATGGCTAATAAACACAAAGAACAACAAAAATAACAACAGCAGTAAACACAACTTCAACCGCAACTTGAGAAGCCGCAACCGCCACCGCTGTCTGAGCGCGACGGCTGCATGGCTAAGTGCAGTGCGAGTAATGAGAAATGTAAATAACAGCAGCAGCAACAACAAGAAAAATAAAGAGTAAAACCAATTTTATGGCTGCGCATAATTTGCGAGTAAAGCAACAGCAGCAACAAAAAAAAACAATAATAATAAGCAGCAAGCACAATCCACCGCCACAACAACAACAAGACCAAGAACTTTAAACTGCTTAATGGCAGCAAAGTGGTGGCCCGACTGCAACAGCAACAATCGCAGTCAGCGCATGCAACATTGCTTCGTTTGTTTTTTAGCTGCTGCCGCTGTTGTTGTGGCTCGCAAATTGCCCGTTTGCCTGGCTGGGCAAACACTCGTCGCGTCGTCTGTCGATCAGCAATCAAATGCTTTGGTTTTGTAATTCTCTTTTAGTTTTTCAATGCTGTTGGTTTGCTGCTGCCATTGCAATAATGATTGCCTTAAATGTGCTGCTGCTGCTGTTGTTCTTCGCCAACGCGCTGAATTTTGTATATTTGTTGCAAACTCTGCTGCTGCTGTTGGCGCTGCTACTGGGGCACTTTTTCCTCCGGCTAATGTTGCTCATTTTCATGTTTGCTTTTGTGTTATGTTGCTGCTGCCGCTTTTTTTCACATCGTCTTTTATTGCATTGCGGCGCATTGTTGCTACTGTTTTTGTTATTATTATACATAGTTGTTGTTGCTGGTGTTGTTGCTTGTGTTGTTGCTTGTGTTGTTGCTTCTGCATTTGCTGTGCATATCGGCGCGCACGCATGTGTTTAGCATTTAATTAATTTTGCGCTAGGCCAAGCGAGTGCAGCTGCTACTGCCGGTGCCACTTTGTAGGTGAGTAGGCATTTGTCGGTAAATATACGTACTCTGTGTGTTTGTGTGTTGTATGTTTTTCCACCGTTTGTTTTCATTGCTTATTGTAGCCATTAGTGCATCGCCACCATTGGCAGCAGAGCATAACCGAACGTGTCTAATAGCACGGTGTGAAAATTTACGACACTTCGTTTATGAGTTGAGGTTCTTGCGACTTACCTACTTTTATTTTCATTGCTTTTATTGCTTTTGCTCTTTGTGGCGAATAAACTTTTTAATCTATATTCTGCATCGATTCCGAAGGGCTATGAAACGTAATGTATTTGCATAATTTTTATTAAGAGCTAGCGCAGGGAGTTCTAACTTAAATTTTGTCCTATTTTACAGAGAATAATATGCCATTCTTGGATGGAGGTGTATTTAACCCGCGATCACTCGCTCGGTGTGTACCATATACCCCTCTACTTATAATTTTTGTTATATTTGTTTTCCTACTTGTGTCTGAACCTCGCCCGTTCTAATAACTGAGTGTAATGACCCACTTTATCAGCTGGTACATGCTGATTATTTGCGTTCATTCGGTTTGGAAAAAATTGCTTTAAAACTGGCTTGGGGTATATGCCACACCCCGCGAGTAACGACGTACATACATACTAAAACAAATTCCGGAGTGATCGCGGGTTAAAAAACCGCTTCTAACATCAAGGTAAAAACTACATGTTTGTTCATGGCACGGTCAAAATAAACTTTTTGAGTGGCCTGCCAATGGTCACAGCTCTTGACAAATAATTCAGGAAACCATGGTTAAAACATTTACACTCCAACAAAATTTTGCCTAGAAAAATACGCAGTGAAACTGAAGGTAACAGTACGGTTAACACGGCCGAAATTTGGGCAAAGTAATTTACGTGCGATAACTGGTAAATCGGAGAGCATGACTGAGGCAGTTTTAGCCCTTAACCACTTCTCTCCCTCGAACATCTTTCAATTTACAACTGTTGAACTAAAATATGAGATGTTTTAAAATTATTTATATTTGTATAAGAACAAGTGGATTTTTGTTTGATAAATAAAATATATTTCGCCATTAAATGATAAATTAGGAGTGGTAGTAGGTAGGGGTCTCCTTGACAGGGTGCACGTGGTTGTGCGATAAAAATTAGAGGTGGGTGGTTAGAAATGGGCTACACTCCATAATAAAGCAAGACAAGCTGAAAAAAGGTATCATTCCAGCCACAAAACCTACAATAAAATGAGGAGCTTTACGGCTTGAACAATTAAATAAGCTCCCGGAGTACTGCAACATTTTCCAGGCCATTATCTATGCTGCAACTAAAGCAGCTGATTCGATTGCGAACCTAATTGGTCAAAATGCACTTGTACGAATTTTCATGGATAGCACCGTGACATAGGCGGTATATTGCGCCCCATCTTCATCACAACATATCTTTTCATTCTATATACTCCAGTAAATCCAGGAAAGCTTTTGGAGGTAGGGACTGTAAGTGCTCTCTTTGGCTACATTGGGCCCATGCTGTTCTTTCGTAGCCTCGATACGACATCACATTAAAACAGATGGTGCATTGGTTTCTCTTTAATTCAGTCGAAGAAATGACAGAGATCATTCGACCAGTTTCTCGATTTCAAGAACTGCCTCGACGCGCGATCTCCACAGAAGTTTAGAGTGCAAGATAAGGCCCAGACACTTAACCTCGACAGAAATAGGATACACTGCTTTAATAGAAGGATCAATATACACTGGGTGCGAAGCACAAATGACTTGAGGGATCAGAGCAGGCAGATATGCTAGCCAAAGCCGGCTTCGCTAATATAATATTTAATCCAACATTGTAAGCACCTTTGTGGGACACATTCAGGACACTGTCTCGCGTGTCATAATTCAGCTTTCCGTAGATTCCGACTCAGTTCTTTTCGTCACAATGAGATCACTGGAATCATCCAAGCTAATCTACCACACACGGTTCCTGGTACCCATATTTCAATCACAATAATTGCTCAAATAAATAATGCATACCGCAATTCAAAGAGCTTTTAATCCCTTTTTATAAATAGTACATATAGGTTTACTTGGAATATCGTAAGTCCCTAAATGATGGTAGCATTCGATTTATTGACAAATGCTAAACTCAGTAAATTTAATAGACGAGCTTGAAGGTCTAAGTATAAAAAACATTTATTTGATTAGTGAGTAGGCACTGTCGCCAATAGTAATCATCTATTACCACCTCTGCATGGTTGAAAGCCAGATGCATCTTTGAGTGCCATCAAATTATAACTTAAGAAAGTTTTATTACATGGCAGCTGAGAAGTACATGTGAGAAAATTTCATAAATCATACAAAGAATATATTTGCTGCAAATGCAGCAGTGCATAGCATGCATTTAGGCGCGCGGGGTATAGTAGTCACGCGTAAGCACATATCAGGACATTTTTCTAAATCGATTAGTAATTGTTTCTAGGGCCGTTAGATTTTCCGGTATGCCTCCTATTCAATCATGCCAGATTGCCTACACTACCTATAGAATTTTAATCATAGAAGTGCTTGTATGTGCAATGGAACCTACAACTAAAAATATTTGCTTTTTGTTTTAAAGCCTACCACTCGTCGTTTATTTTAAGCGCCATTTCTACTTCATTTAAAAACTGTAAATATGTATGTACTATATGTCACTGAATTAATTATTCTCAACCGCCCTATAATTACTAATAAAACGCTTCGGCGCGCCTTATAATTAAATTTCACAAACATCGTTTGAAAGAAATGAGAAATTCTACACAGGTAAAAACTCACCTTTTAATTTGTTAAGTTGACTGCTGGTCAGGCGTTTGCTGTCTTATAAATAGTCGAGTTAGCTGGGAAATTTACTATAGTGTTTAGCTTCTGTTGTTTGTTTTTTTTTCGAGTTTTTAATTTTTATTTATTTATCTATTTTTTTGTAGTATTAATAACGGTTATGGCTCGTGCGAATGAGAAATTTTATTTACGCCCCTTCTACCGTACACCTGTTTGCCTATTTAACATTTAATTATTTGTGCTTTGAAAGAAAATATTTGTTGTTTTTTTGCTGTTTTTTCTACACTTTTCCGCAGAATTTTCCACTTTGCAATTATACACTCCCATAAAAGTTGACAGCTGCAAAACGTTGACAGGTATGTTGTCGTGTTTATTTGCGCTTCTTTTGGTGTCGGTAGCCAAGGGAGCTGCGCCTTCGAGTAAATAGGCAATTATTTTCACGCCGCGCAAATCAAAACGACACTTGGTATTGAGCGGTAAGCCTGTTTATTTATTTATTTGTTGTTTTTTTTTTTTCTTGCAACTTTTTTTATTTCTTCACTGTTTTGTTGGTTGGTCTAACTGCTCACTTTCATCAACAATACAATTGGATTTGCTGATTGATTTTCAAAAATATAATTTTCTTTCATTTCAATTTGTTTTGTTTGCTTGTCGTTTCATTCGCAGGATTTAATTCAATTTCAATTATTTTTGATTTTGGACTTTGGTTTTCGCCAATCCTCTGGCGCTCGCTCACTGGCTTATTTTGATTTCCTTTGTACGCGTTGTGTTTTGACATAAATCAATTTCCAGCCAATCACATTTATATGCCACATGTAAACACATTATGACAACAACAACAAAAAGAAACACTACAACAAAAACAAACCCAAAACATACACACAGTTTGCCAATTACGCTTTGTTGAATGGCAATGTTGGCGTAGCTAATGTCAACAAAGAATGCGTGAAAATTGCATTTAATTTACTTTACAATAGCGCAAGTACAACAATTATAACAACCGTTGCTCGGAGCAGTTAAAAAGGTAAATAACGCGCTTTATTGAAGAACAGTAAATGGTAAGCGCGCGCTTAGGACTTTGCGCTGTTAGAATCTTTACTGTGAATTTTTACACAATTTGCTTTACCAGCGCTTTCAAGGCTCTACCTTTTTAGATGCAATAACAGTATTAGTTTAGGAGCTGATGATGAGCTAAGTAACGTTGACGAGTTTAAATGTCTTCATAGGCCGCGCGCGCGGTGAATTCGTTTAGTTCATCTACAAACTTGCATACATTTTAAAGCACTTTACAACAACAATAACAAGTTAATTGCAAGCGCTAAGCTTAAGCTTAATTTATTGACAGCTATATTATAAAATAAACTAGGCAGCATAGCGTTTCAAAAGTTCGGGAAAATGAACGTGTTGTAAAACACTTCTTTATTGTGCATTAGAGGGGCGCTGAAACGCGCGGTGGGTTGTTAGTAGTTAGTTGCTAATTAAAATGTGCGCGTTGGGAGGCGCTTTGGACGCAACAGTAATTTTTGCATCTTTTAGTGGCGTCTGAGCTTTTAAAAATGCCTTTTCTTTCGCAAGCGTTCTTCTGCGCGCGGTCAAATGTTCAACGCATTAGAAACATATATAAAAAGGCTAAAGTGTGTGCATAGAATTCCGGTTTTTGTTCTATGCTTTTTTTGCAATATCTCACCTTTTTCAGAGGCGCTCCACCACTTTACACCACTTTTTATAGCACTAGTCTGGGATCATAAAAGTTCTTATGAGCCTACCAACACTCAAGTGTCTTCTTAAACGTTCACAAATGTCACTTTAGCTTCCACCTCTTCTTCTTTTTACTGTATAATTGTCACTTCCGCGCAACACTTTTGCACTGCCACTCTCAACACCCCTTCGCGCTTATTGCAGGCGTAACTGTCACAAAATAGCGTCAATTCTCTGTTCACTTCGTCGAGCGTCAAGGCGTTGCCGGTTGCTTTTGGTGAACTTTCGTTGACCTTTTGCACAATTTTCTTATAGCAAATGTTTTCTTTGTATATTTTCTAAATATTTACGCTTCCGCTCGATACTTCAGTGGCTTGCTCTGTAGCCATATATACATACATACATACACATATACATGTGTAGCTTATCAGCCAGCAGCGTTTAACTTAGCGTGTGACTGACTTTTACACATTCACGCACTCGTCTATCAGTAGCTCATTGAAGCGTTTGTTCAATAATTACTTTTCTCACACACAACACAGCAACAATCAATTGCATTCATTAAATATTATTATTTTTTTTGTTAAATTTTTACTGATAAACTTTCAAGACTTCTTCTATTCACACACGCTCTCTACTTCAAATTCACTTCTACACCGCGTTGTCGTTTATTTTTTTCTTTACTTTAAATTCACACGTTAACCGCTGCTAACAACTTGACTTGCACACGATGCGTTTACAACTGCCACATGCCACACAGGGTCGTGGCAAAGTGCTCCACTGCTTTGCTTTTACTTGGCTGTTGGCTGACTGAGGCGCCTCAACAAGAACGGTCGATGTTGTTCGCTCCTGCGGCTAGCTAGTTGGATTCATTCACTTCGTTGCTTGCTCATCGGAATTTCCATTAATTTTTGATAGGCCGTTGAAGAGAGAATGAGCGAATACGCACTCGTCTGCGAGAGAAAAGTCTTCCAGTTGGTGTTGAAGGCAATTGTGAAAAAATTGTAGCAAGCGAGAAAAAAATTGGTGGAAGTAGACCTTTTTGTGCAAAGTGATGAGATATTTTTAATGAAATTGCTAGACCCGAAAACATCAGCATCTCATGCAATTTACTTCAATAAAAAAAGTATCGTACAAGAAAATATACAATAAATGCTGTCTTGCATTTCAAAACATTTAATTGCATGACATTTTGAAATCAAAAAAAAAATGTAGCTAAAAATTGTAATTTCATCTTTATAACTTTTCTGTAGAAACTATTTCATGATATATTTTTCCTAACATGCTTTAAAATTCGAACTTTTTAGGTGATATATCATTGGACCTTTGAAGGCCAAATTTAGGCGATTTCCTAAATCCAAACTTCCAGTAAGTTTGAGTTATTTTTTTTTTGTGCGTTGTGGAATTTTGGTTTAAAAAAACAAAAAATATTTGAAATAAGGCAGTTGATCAGGGTAGAATCTTACACTGAACTTGACTGCTGAAAATACATACTTAAAGAGCACTCTAGGTCGATAAAGAAAACGTATTCTCTACACCAACCGTGTAACTTCAGTAAAAAGATTTCACCGATCTAATCGTGCTTAGACAACTTATGTTGGGTAAAACCCAGGCCATTCCAGGACCGGTTGACGTCGGAATTCACAGGGAGGTCTAAATGGTCCCAGTAAGGGAGGGCAACTTTATGCTCAGCAGGCAGTTCGTAATAGGGAACTACATACGCCATCACCCGAACTGACACTTTCTTGAGCCGTAGCTTCTATCTAGACAGCTCAGAAGGTACCTCTAAAAACTAACGGAGGAGGTCCAACAATTCCCTCAACATCCACCGAACCGTGCACTGTATAGACAGGCGATGAATGACCGTCATTGGAGTACAGCCACCACCAGATGCTAATAGTAAGTTTCAACTACATAAAGAGACCCGCGTAACTCTGGCTCAATTACGGTCTGTATACTGTAGTATGTTACTCATCCAGACTAGACTCCGACGTATCAATTGTATGTCCATCATGTGAAGGTATGACCATGACACCAACCACCACTTCACATACTCACTCAGCCCAACTGATTGAAATTCCTCTCCCTCTCATCGCACTCCGCCGAAACACCGCGTTCTCCGGGCCAAGCGTTAGTTGAGCTTGACGACAACGATCGAAGGGCTGCCGATTGTGTTCAGAACTAAGTAAGACGCTAGAACAACAACAACAATGAACTTTGGTATGATAAATGTGTACTGCCAGCAAGACTCATAATCAAGAAAAGAATGGCTGATCTCTGCTCAAAGATGGCATGGCAAACACTTTCTTAGATTTCGGGTAAAGTGTGCTAAACTTAGGTTCCATGTACCTTAAACCCCAAATTAGGTTTTCACCATTACTCGTGTCGTCATAACTATTAGCTCCATAAGTTTTTGTGTAACCCACTTATCCGTACATCATTGCCGTATCAAAAACCAGCATATTAAGAAGTCAAAGCGAGGTAGTAGGCCGACCTAAGGTCGTCAAGCACTAGAAAAAGTTTCAATAACTCAATGAAGCACCTATAGGTGTGTCAGTTGTTTTTCGCAGAACTTACCTCATACTCTTTTACTCTAAAAATTTTCTTTCATCTACATAAAATATGCATAATTTTATCTAACTTTCAGATGTTAGCATAAATTTCTACCCGTATTTAGCTTGCATGCTATAAATTTCTTAAACTCGGCGCACGCCAGGCAATAATAACGCAAGCAACATTTTCGTCCCCTCGCAAGCAATAAATAAAATTTTCTCTCTCACAATCACTCTCCCAGATAAGTTTTTAACTCACCCATGTGGTTTTTACCGGCGCGCCTGACAACTTCCAATAACACACTCATTGGAAGTAACAGCTGATGTGTTTTGTTTATTTATGCACAGCGCGACGGCGTCGTTTTCATATAAGACTTGGAAGCAGATACTTGCATCTCACAGATATAAGGCGTATTCGTGCCTTTGCTGTTGTCGTTGCTATCGTCATTGCCTAATTGATGATTGCTGAGTTCGTTGAGCAAGGCAAAATTTTAAAGTTGCGTAAACTTTAAGCGTGCCTGCATATGTAAGGTATGCATGTTTGCTTGTGTTATCTTTTCGATTTTTTTTGTTGTTCAATGTCTTCATCTATCGCGCTGAGATGTACAGCGTTTAAAAGTAAGCATAAGCTACACCCAGAGCTTGAAGTTGGCTTTGAGAAGCGTAGCGCAGCACTTATGACTATTGTGTCTAGCCACTCTCGCATTAAGATGGCAGTGTGCTATGAAGAATCGCATTATTCAAGCAGCTGTTTAATTTCCACCAAACAATAGATATTGATCTGAAACTGGGGGTGGTTAACATATCTGGATATCATGTAGCGTCCCGACTACGCGGGTCTGCGCGAATCTTGTCTAAGAGTAGCTTTCACGTGGGTAAGGAGAAAGGACATAATTTCGTAAAAACTAACGAGGCCAATGACTGGTAGCTGGCATCGTTATAAGGCGAAGTTTAGCTCAAAATCAGATAAAAATGGAGCACTAATTCAGTACAGTGCTGATTTTTTAATGCGTTGTTTCTGTGTTAGTTCCTAAAGAGAAAAAGGTCTCCACTTGGGTATAAAAGGCAACGGCCGAAATAGAACACCGCCAACGAACTGAGAAGGATGAGTTTTTGCTATAATTTCCCCGCGAAAATCCCTCCAAGCGGTCGCAGGTACATCAGTAAAGTCACCAGGAAGCATCTAGTCCTGCCGATCCTTGACAGGAAACACCCGAACTGAAATCTTAAGGCAGAAAACTGCAGGTCTATCCTAATATAACTCTTGCTGGTGTTCAAGAATATCCTTGGAAGGTATGCTGTTTCCTTACCTGAAGTCATGGACGCCGATACCGGCGACAGATAAAGCCTATGTCCATTGCCGAATAGAGATCAGCGATGCTTTATAAACAGGCGATTTCTAACCTGGAGAAGCCCTACCAGGACGCTAACCTTGTGACTGTACAAAGGAATAATATCCCCAACTGACCACCGACCAGGGCCCGGGTTCCGGAGGAACCTTCGAGACCATTCCCAAGATTAGACAGTGATGATGGTAAGCAAAGTAAGAGGGAAGCAGCTATACCTAACGCTACTGTCAAGTGAGGAATCGCTGCCGCATATATTATAAATGACTACGGCTTTTATTCTATGCACCAGACTTAACATCGGACCTACAGAGTGATTGTCAGTCCACGTATGGTCTTGACGGATCTTTATAAAATCGCTCTGGTGATAGACTCATAGGTGTTGTCTTTGAATAAAGTTGAGCTATTTACGTATGAACATGCCACCACTACGGCAGTACTAGGACTCTTTATATGTACGTATTCAGAATTGCACTATGTAGAAGCAGGGGGTTAAGAAAATATACATGAATTGACCAAAGTTGCAAAAATGTCTGAGGTGAAGGCGCAGCAATATTATTGGGAATTAAAACACATGGATGGTTCCGTGCGCAGAAGTGGAAAACTTTTGACTGCCATTCACCTGGGAGTGGTCAGAAGCGATTCTTGTGCGTACGGTTCAAATCGCAGCTCACAACGTCAGGATATTTATATCCACGTATCCTCTGGGTAGCAACCAAACACCCGTTTGGGAGCGAGCTAAAGTGAGAAGGCGTAAAACTTCGCGTGCGCTGTGTTTGGGTCCCGCCACGTTAAAACCCCGCCCAATGAAAAGAAAAAAACAGCCTCGGATGAGACCCCCTTTTTCTGATGACGACCACGGCAAACGTATAAAGGACTAATGGGGAAGGTGCCTCTGCCCGGCTGGTTGATGTCCTCGGGAAGACAAAGGCTGACATCACCGCCATCCAAGAAATGCGATGGACGGGGCAAGGTAAAGTAAGCGTGAAGCCTTGCGACGTCTACTACAGTTGCCACGTAAAGGAGCGAAAATTCGGTGTTGGATTCGTGGTAGGAGAGAGACTCCGTCGCCGAGTACTGGTTTCACCCCGGTGGACGAACGTCTAGCCACAATCCGCATCAAAGCTAGATTCTTCAACATCTCGCTCATCTGCGCCCATGCCCCGACGGAAGAGAAGGATGAGGCGTCCAAGGATCTCTTCTATGAGCGCTTGGAACGTACATATGAGCGCTGCCCCCGACACGATGCCAAAATCGTGCTTGGCGATTTTAATGCGAAGGTGGGCAAGGAAGGGATCTTTGGCGCCACTATCGGAAAATTCAGCCTCCACGACGAAACGTCCGATAACGGACTGAGGCTGATCGACTTCGCCGGGGCCCGAAATATGGTAATATGTAGTACTAGGTTCCAGCATAAGAACATCCACCAAGCTACATGGCTGTCTCCAGATCGAAAAACGAGAAACCAAATCGATCATGTTGTGATAGACGGAAGGCATGCTTCAAGCGTTTTGGACGTACGTACACTCCGAGGGCCAAACATCGACTCGGACCACTATCTTGTTGTAGCCAAGATACGCACCCGCCTCTGTGCAGCAAAAAATGTGCGCCCAACAATGCAAGGAAAGCTTAACGTCGAAAAGCTGCAATCACAACAGACGGCCAATTTATTCGCCACTCGACTCACACACCTGCTCTCTGAGAGCACTCTTCTACAATCCGACGTACTCGAGCAGTGGAACCACATTTCCCGATCATTAAGTACCGCCGCCGAAGAAGTAGTTAGATTTCAGCGAGCCCGAAGAAACAACTGGTACGATGAGGAATGTCAAGAAGCCGCAGAGAAAAAAGATGCCGCCTACAGGGCCACGCTGCGATCGGGCGCAACGCGAGCCATGTGGGACCGTTATAGGGAACTG